GTGTGTGTGTGTGTGTGTGGTCCTCAGGATGGAAATCTAATTATTCACAGGCAACAATTTACTGTACATTACGAATGTGTGCACAGCCTCAGTGTGTGCACATGTTCAGTCGTGCATATAGTAAATGCCTCTCGGTCTACAATTTCCCTGACAGGTGATGCAAAGCAGAAATTACCATATTACTTTGAATTTATGTCTGGATACAACAATTTAATACATCTGTGATGCTGCTGTAACACAGACCATTATAATCACAGCGGCTATTCGAGTTCCAGACAGTTACTGTTCAAGATAATGGTTAAATAATGTAATGTAATTTGCCTCAATTCAAATTCTATATTATTAGCATTTATTTTTTGTTCTTATTTTAATCACATGTTTGTGTATTTATAAGCAGAGTAATTTGTAAGATGAAACATGTTCTGATGCCATGTTGTTGAGTAGAGTCAAGGGAAACATGATGAAATGAAGAAACACAACAAATTAAGAGGACAAGCTTTGTAAAGTTCTGCAGGAGGAACATTTATAAACGTTTAACTGTGCAAAAATATTACAAGTTGTGGAAAGATTGATGATTTAAACATAACATTATCATTATTATTATTACTCTGCGTTTCTCTTGTCTTCATTACAGTGTTGAGTTACTAAATAGCTGGATTGCAACATTTAACACTTATAACAAGCTTTGTATTAATACTGTGGATCCATAGTCTTTTTTGATATGTATATTTCTGGTTTACTTCAGTTGCTGTTATATTGTTCTCATATATTGGGTTTGATGTGTTCAGTGATTTTATTTGTATTTATTTTGATCTTTCTTTCTGGCAAACACAAACACAATCACACAACCTATTTACCAACATGTTATATGTGGGGGAGTGATGTGATGGTGGGTTTGCTGCACTGTTTCCAAGCATGACAACGAGCTCACAGCAGGTGCTAGCTTGCAACACAGTTGCTGGAGTGTTTCACAGGAAATGGCAGCTAATTGCTGCAGGTGATAATACCACACAAGGAGTCGAGCGCCTTCTCACATGGGAGCAGGAAAATTAGGTGCTAAGTAAATGATTTGTCCCCACTTGTGCACTTGCAGAGTTGAGAAAATGGGTGAGAAAAAAGTTAACAAATGACTTCACACACAAACATCAACATTATGAAACTCAGGTCCTGGTTAGATTGTTTACCTGTTTGTTGGGGAAGCGATAATAATTTAAATAGATGTTTTTTCTGCGTACAGACTCAACTGCAACACTAATAACTTAAACTGGTGATTCTGTAAAGAGTTTGGTGGTAATAGATCATCCTATTGTGTTTAGAGTTTTGCTAATAAACTTAGCGGTAGCTATTCACTGTAATTTCCTCTTTTTGTAACAGTTTTCATTCTACATAGCAGAGTCTCTCATACATCTTTGGGACATTCAGTGCTTGAAACACCACTGACTGTCTTTACTGGTCATCTTTATTTAAATGAAGATGAACTCCTCTTCCTTTGGATGTGCTATAAATACAGACACAGCTTTTTCTTTCACCTCACTGGCACAAAAACAACATCTTCTATTTCGTTGTTCTTTTCCTGTTTGTCACTTTAAACAAATGAAAGTCCTTTGTAACTAAACCAAATACAGTTGAAATGTATTGATGATAATGACATGAGACCTCCATCACCATGGAGACAACTGTTCATCTTACTCTTGTTTAAAATTATTCTGGTGCAAACAAAGTCTAAACAGCTGCATGAAATAATTCTAAATGAACTTTAACAGTTTTCTGAAGGGAGTCCATGATTGTAACAATGTTAAAAAAAAGTTTTGGTTTATATTTTCTGAGTGAAACAAGTTGCAGGTCCTCTGGGGCTTAAATGTTACTCTTGTTTGGTGATGGTCATGCATACCACTAATCTCTATGAACAGTAATACTCAGCCGTTCAGAGGAGGAGGTTAGGAAACACTGCACATTGGCTGACACAGGGTGAATAAATCACAGCATATACATTTAACAGTACATGTCAGGATGAGCGGGATCTCTGCTCAGTCCTGTGTGAATCAATAACTGTTGAGGTCACGGATGATGCATGTGCATGGGAGAGTGTGCATGTGTGTGTGTGCATGTCGTCCACAATAACCCTCTCTTACTCATCAATATTCTCTCTCTGTGCCCTCCTCCTCCTCTCCTCCTCCTCCTCTCCCTCCACCTCCTGTCTCTCTCTTCTGCCCTCACCCCTCTTGTCTCTCACAATAGATGGTGTATAAGCCCTGGCTGTGTTCTCAGTACTTCCAGACCACCCAGATCCACTGCAGCAAGCGAATCCCCTGTGGTCAGTACTGCCTGGAGGTGCAGCAGCGGTGCCCCTTCGTCCTGCCCGATAACGATGATCTCATTCATGGAGGCAGCCCCAGTTTTATATGCACAGGTACAAGAACAATACGCTCCCTGCAAATCTTTCCCCTTGTGTGTCTTATTTGACTGATTTACATGTGTACAGGTCGCGCAGCTGCTCTGTGCAACTTTAGCTCTCAACCAATGGGCACTGAGGAGCTGGGCTGAAGTGCTTTGTTGACTATTTTAAGGATAAAAGAGCATTACTTCCCTAAATCCTGGGATTCAGAGCTACAAGTAACACGCTCTGCTCTCCTCTGCACCGCCTCTGGCCCACCCTGTGTACTAGAGATCATGCCCTTGGGTGGAGTGACTTCCTTTACTCCTAATGAGCATGTAGGGAGCACAGTGTCTTGCTCCATGATACTTCAGAGGGACACACAACTGGACACAAGGCAAACACTAGTGACTTTACAGTTACAGGATGTTCTGTTTAATTAGCAGCCTAACAGGGTGATACAACCATGACATCTGAGCTAATTGTTGCCAATTACTCAGAAATGAGCTGCACGGTAGGATAAGGTGACAGGAAGTCTGTAGTGAACAGTTTATAGCTCTCAGTGGGCCGGTGTAGTTTATGACAGTGTTAGTAACCAGGACACACTCTGAGTCAGAGATAAAGAGTTTACCTTGTTAACATCACATTTTTGTCTCCACACACATGAGAGGTGAGTCCCACACAATGTGACCTGATGTGTGAGGGGATTTGTTTTTATTCCATGAATTTGATTAAGGCACAGACTCATATTTCATATAACATGCTGATGCTGCCCTCTGGTGGTCGTGTAGAGCACATGGTCACTGTAATAACACAATGAGACGAGAAATTTAAGTTATAATGTTAAAGTTGCTTATTGAAGTTCAATCACTGTTATTAAAATGGAAGACGAGAATGGGTGATATCCAATATTTTTGTTTAGTTGACAAGTGACATGAAAAGATGAAAACCAACAAAGTGCCGGTTAGTGCATGTGTACTTTGACATGCGGGTTACAAGTTACTCTGACACGCATGAGTTAATGGATTCAATATCATCATGAAGCGCTCCTGACTGTCTGTACTGGTCATCTTTATTAAATGAAGATGACTCCTCTTTGTTTGGATGTGCTATAAATAGAGACACAACTTTTTCTCTCATCTCTCTGGCACAAAAACAAGGTCGTTGTTCTTTTCCTGTTTGTCACATGAAACAAATGAAAAGTGCTTTGTTTGTAACTTAATCTCAAAAAGTTGAAATGTATTCATGAAATGCTACATTCAGGTTTTGGAGTTTACCATGAAAGTTAGTCTCCCTGCATCCCAGACCTCCATCACCATGGAGACCTCTGTTTCTCTGGACCATAACTGATCATTGTTGTTTTTTTTGGACCATTTTACTCTTGTTTACAAAACCAACAGAGTGCTCGTCAGTCCCTCAATGAATTCTGACTTCCCCCAACCTGTGTTGTACAATACAAAGGAATCTTTGATGGAGATATACTGTAATTTAAGTTAAAAATTGCTCTCAGTTCTGTTACGCTTTACAAATTTTACTTAAACAGGAGAAGATTACCAGGGACTATTTTCTGCTGTGGATCAATACACATTTGGTGCACCAGTTAGTAGGCTCTTTATGACAGTGTAGCACAGATTGACTTAGAAGAAACAACTGTGCCCTTGTCTTTTGTAATGACGGACGATGACACACAGAGCGACGGTGCCACTCAGTGATGAGTGTTTCTGGACAATTGGACAAAAATGGAAGAGGAATAAAATGTATTAGCCTCTGGAAAACTTTGTCAGCAGGATTCATTCATTGGTTTCGGGCTTTTTATCAGTTTTTTTGATAATAAGGAAAACATGAACTATAACCCTTATCATTTAAAGTCATGATGATCAAATAAAAAAGATACGCATGCACTCAGCAGCACTGATCAAATATGCACAGTTAGTGAAAATGATGGGATGTGTTTATGCATGTCAATATTTTGTCTTTCACGTTGCAGATACGGGAACTCGAGGTGCAGGTTTTTTCAGAAACTGCATTAATCATTAATTACACGATTCCTCTTGTCAAACAGTCAGAGTGGGGACAAATGTCTTTTGCACACAGTCCATGACAAACCCCTTTTTGCTACTGATGTCAGTGGAAAGTGTCAGTCTGCTGTTTGTGATATTAGTACTGAGAGTAAATACATTACATTTTGCCACTTAATGCGATGGTTGCATTTTAAATGTGTCTTTACAACATACTTTGTGTTTCCATTTTTTCTTCATACAGAAAATACTGTATTTTTGAATATTTCTGGAAAGCTCTGTACTTCCAAAGCACTCCTGTGGCGTATACACAGGCCTGGTTGTAAAATACACTGTTAATTACAGTAATTCAGCCTGACTGCTGCAGCAGAGCAGAGTACTGAAGTGAGGTGGTACAGGATGTAGTATTTCACTAGCTTTAAATTCAGTCATTCATTACTTCAGTGGCCAAGACAGCTCAGTGTACTGCAGATAAAAAAAACAAATGGACAGAACCAAAAGGAATGAAAAGAAAATCTGCACCACTTTGAAAATGGCCTTGAAACCTGAAAGATTTTAATTTACACAGGAGACTTTAAAAAATGAACATTTACTTCAGAGACCAGAACCAACAAAGTTTTACTGAACATTTGTTTTAACACTTGATTGGTTCTGAACATTGGCGTTGATTTTATTTGTGGGTGTTGATTACACAAGTACACAAATCATTGTTTCAGCTTTGACTGCAAATAAATGAAAGTGAGACAAAATAGTTACTACTACTACTTCTACTACTACTTCTACTCCTACTACTACTACTAATAATAATTATAATAATAACTTGGATCCTGATTGGGCCGGGGTCTTTTTGTGTGGAGTGTGCATGTTCTCCCTGTGTCTGCATGCAGGGTTTCCCCAGGTACTCCAGCTCCTCCCACAGTTCAAAGACACATAGATTGAGTTTAATCAGAGAATCTAAACTGACCTTAGGTGTGCAGTCAATCATGAATAGTTGTGTGTCTCTGTCTGTCAGCCCTGTGACATGTACTCCGCCTATTGCCTAATTTCAGCTGGAATTGGCTCCAGCTCTCCCATGAATCTCAGAGGATAAGCAGCATAGATGATGGATGGATGGATAATAACTTGAATTTATTTAGCTCCTTTCAGGGTCACTTCACAGAGTTGAGGGGGAAAAAAGAGTAAAATGTGTGAATTAGTACATTCAGCTCTTTTGTCATTTCAATCTGAGAAAAATCATTTTAATAGGAACACATTCTCACTGAATTCTGTTTATATTGTGCTTTATATGTTTTGGTTCTCGGTGATTTTGTTGGGGCAGGAAGCACATACATGCTTGTGAGCTAATTGTTTCTATCTTCACCCCCCCCCAAACCAAACTGCAGGGCTGTTGGAGGACTATCCTTCAGGTGTGGACCCAGATGCAGAGTGCTGCGATGTGCGGTGGGACTTGAAAGTGGACAACCGAACCCGGGGGACCCTGAAAAGAACTCACCCGCCATGCCAGCACCGTACCTCCCTCAGCTCCTCGGCAGCCTGCAGACTGTGTAACAGCCGGCTCAAACTCTGCCTGCTGGTCCTCGTACTCCTACACACTGTTGCCAGCCTCACTGCATCCCACAATGCAACAGGACTGGGCCTCCCTGCCATCACGCCTCTGGAGGAGAGCCCTGCCAATGAGGAGTGATGGAGCTGCCAGGAGGAGGTGAGGTTGTCGGGTTTGGGGATTCCCTCACCATGGCAACCGGAGGATGTGGAAAAGTACAGCCACGGGAGCTGTGTGCCTGTGGAGGCTCTGCAACGCTTTCTAGCGAACGGAAAATGTGGGACGCTTTGAGACGAAAGACACACACAAATCAATCAAAACGAATAAATAAGTAGACAAACAGACAAACAAAGGGAGTCAACCGGTCCCTTTGTTAGTAAAGGGGACAATGCCACAGCCTTTGTTGAGAGGGAAGGTCGGCTTCCTCACAGAAGTTTCTCTCACTACGCTTTTTTACACTGTGTTCCAATTCTTGGTTTCTGTTGCACTGGCTGACTATGGAATAACACAATCATATTCTCTTTCTAATGTTCATCCTTTGTGTTTGTTTCCGAGTCTCTCATACAGGAAGAAAATGTGTTCTCTGAATAATAACGTGTAAAAAAAATCATTAGCTGCAACTTTGTGTGTGTGAAAGGGTTTGTGTTTCAAGCCTGCAAGTGTGTGTGTGGGCGTGTGTGAGCTTGTATGCATGTATGTATGTATGTGTGAGTATGAGAGAGAATGAGTGCGTGTTGCTGACATCTACCCTAAAAGTCTACCTAATAGACTGGTGCACCGATGAGGTCTTTATGGAGCCCCCCCGCCCCTCCTCTTCCCATCAGAATCTGAGCTGGGTTTTGAATGTGGTTCTGGTGTCCATGATGAAAGCTCTTTGGTTTATAGTTTCCCCTCAGTTTGTTTTGTGAGATAATATTCACCCATTGACACTGGAAGCAAACCATTACTGTACTTAGCTTCAGTAAAAATCTAACACCAGATAATTAGTAGAGCACATTCCTCTGCCATGGCCCAACAGTCTCCTTAAATTCAAAATCAAGCTGCACCAAATTGTACATTGATATCAGTTCCCTAAATACGCCATATTTTTTTCCATCAAATTCTTGATTTTTGTTCAGACCCAAAATTAAAAATGGACAGGGGCAAAAATCGAACCTTCTCTGCAGAGGTAGTTAACGTCCAAATCTATGATTCTTTAAGCTGTAACGGTTTATCAGGGATATATCATAAACTAAAAAGTAAAGCTTTAAAACATTTAAAATAATTTTGACTGCCATCTGGATTATTATCTGTGATTATAGTTTGTTCTGGGTATTCATGGTTTACAGATGCTGAAACAAAGCATTAAAATTAAGACTCATTGTGTTGCACACACATGTTAAGATGCCAAAGCATGAATATGAAGAGTTTTTCGGTAAAATCCAGTTTTTAACAAGTTAACCACCTCATTCACATGACTGTAATAAAAAAGCACAGACTGGTTGATTTTTATCTCACAGAACAAAACGTGAAATTGTTTTAAACTTGTCTCAACCAAAGATGTTATTTCAGGCATTTAACCGAAACCTCATTCAGATTTCTTTTTCAGCCTCATGGGTCAGCAAAGTTAACTGACATTGGAATTTCAGCACTGGATCAATATATTTGTCACAGTTGCTCCAGACATTGATCATGTTGTTATTGTAAAATTTAAAGGTACCATCCAGTCATAATAAAGCATGGAAATAAAATGGCTGTTAAGATGTCCTCAATCCTTTTGACCTCAAGAGCTTCAGTTTTTTTCCTGCTGCAGATTCAAAATGATTTACAACAGCAACTTTTGTAATAAAGGACTAAATCCTATCACCATTTCTTGAAAACCAAAACCTAATTTATTATTAACTAAAAGAGCAATGTTGTCCTTTCAATCTCAGGCCTTTTTGTTGTCAGGAAACACACTGACTGGATGTTACCTTTAAAGTATTTGCATAATCGGTAAACTGCAATTCCACTGCAGTTATGATGAACATAAAATGTCAACATGTCACTCAGAAGGGTAGCATCCTACCTGCAGTAGCATCAAGAAACAAAACCCTAACCCACCAATAGGTCAGACATTTTAATCCCTCACCTTAGAACGACAGTCGACATCTCACCAACACGGAGTCATCGTGTTCCTGTTTGTTTCTGTTAAATTAAAATATAACCTCTTCTCATGACCTGCATGTGGAGGCTCTCTGCAAGGCCTCTGTCCTCAGCCCCACTCCCCATACAAAGCACTGCACCTGATCCTGAATCAGCTCCTGTAGCATGCCCACTGTCTCGTACCTTTCTCCTCCAATACATCCAAGTAATTTCTCATGAAGTAAAAAGGGCTTATCAAGATCATCATCCACATAGTCACACACACTCCAGATTATCAGCAGACAAAGGCTAAATTCAAGGCTCTCATTCTGTTTTATTTACAGTTCGGAGGCATTCCAGTGGCTGTAGTACCGGAGAACGTGAACAGAAACATACAGAGAACAGGAGCGTGTCATTGTCTGAGCACTAATGGCAAAACCTGATAACCGTCTAAGTCTGATCCTTATGTTTTATGCATTTCAAATGTTGACCAGCTTGTGAACAGAAAGAAATGGTGTGACCTTAAGGGCTGACTTGTTTTTTGTGTCTCATGTCTCTGTTGGCGAATAAGAGGTTTTTGAAAAGGAGCAGATGTTAAACTTAACTGAGATGTCCAATCCAATATCTGATGTCAAGAATATTTTGCTACGCAGCTTATCGAGGATTTCAAATTCATCATTTTTCACCATGTTTCTCTCTGGATAGTATCTTCGCTTTTCCCTGACACCTATAGGCTGTTCAGACCCTGACCCACTCTCCAATTCCTGCTTGCATTCACCGCTCATTGTCATTCAGCGTCGCACGCCCATGCCCATCTTGGATGACGGCATTCAGTGACAGTGAAAAATGCTGCTATATCATTGGCCACCAGTAGATGGAGATATTTTTATTCTTTTTATATATTGCTACTGCTGCTGAAGACCTACCACAGAATGACTGTCAGACACAAAGACATCAGGAAAGCTGAGCTCTGAATGACCTCTGAGTAAAAGTGTACCGTACTGTACTTTACTGCATGTGTGCGTACGCGTACCTGCACACGCAGAGGTGCGTGTGTTGCGTGTCTGTCGCTAATTGCTGCGTGTTCCCCAGAAAGCTCATTAGTGTTGCCGTGACCTTGGTGCCTGCAGGACAGGTGTGGCAAACCACTGTCTTTAGATGCACCCCCCCCGGGATCTGCTACATGAGTCATCCCATTATTCACTGCAGCCCTAAAGCTGCAGGAAGTGTAGTGTGAAACCATTCTACTGTACAATGTGTAATAACTGTGTCACCGCCCCGTGACACAAAACACACTAGACTGAATTTGTGTTAAATTTTCAAATAGATTATTCTAGACAACCTGAAAGATGCCAGAGCCAGTGCTAAGACTGAATGAAGTGAGCTATCATGTGAAACTGGTGCCAAAGCAAAACCTTGTATCGAGTAAAAGGAAATAGCTCTTATCTGATATGACACGCTGCTTTTTGACGGGCATGAGGAGGAAAACAGGGTCTGTCAGTGTCATGGAAACGTGCCATGCAACTCTCACCACGATGCACATGTAAGGGATCTCTCAAAGACATAAGACATAAGTCCTGCCTGTCGTGTCGGCAGTCAGGCCGCGATGTAACCAACCATCACGTGCCTACTGCTGGACATGCATTCATACAGTACCCCTGCATTCAAAGTCAGGCAGAGGCCATGTCTGCTTTACATGTGGCGGTGTATCCTCTCTGCAGCTGCATGGATGTGAGTGCCGTGCGTGTGTGTCGTCCCTCATGCCCCCTCCACACTGTGCTTGCACCAATGACCGACATATTTGTGTGCAAGGTTTCTTCCAAACGGTAATAGAAAGAGATTTGACTCATTTAAAACTCTATTTGACTTTTGTCGGTAATGCACGCAATCGTTACTCTGCTGTTATTACTTTCATCAATTTGATTTTTTTATACAGATACATTTGCATAAACTCCTTTATAGTAGATTCAGTCTAGATCCCTGGTAATGTTCTGTAGCAGTCATAGGGTTTGGCCTGTCTTATTCCATAACTCACCAACCTTCAAGAACGTTTCGTGTTTCGCCCCTGCACATATAGACTATGTATGCCTCTTGCCCCGACCCCCTTTTTACCCAGCACTGAATAGTATGTACACAAATATTTCCCCCCACTTCACTCCTTCTCAGCCTCTCTGTTTTCATGATAGTTCCGTTCTCTATCCTGTGGATCTATGCAGAAGCCCATTCCGTTTTTGGTTGTAAATACGTTCCCTAGTATGCTGAACAATGTACGTCTTTTTCTTCCCAGGTTTTCTTGTGTATTTTGAGTTGACGTCATGCTCTTATTTTCCTCTTCTTCTCTAATTCTTTCTTTTGTTTTTTTGAGTGTCTAAAAATCATTGATGTTAAAAGAGAATGTGGTGAGAATTAACCAATAGACTTGTCCTCAGCTTCGCAACCTTATTGTGGAAGGTTGTGGTTCTGTGTGTGTGAACGCGGAAGATTTATGATTATAGAAATGAAAAGGTTCGAAGGCATATAGAAGTATCATTGCGATTATGAATTTTATGATTACTATTATACTACCAGTATATTGTAATATTATAGATGCTTTAGTTCAAGTAACTTCTTTAATTTTTTTACAAACAAACTTTGATGAAATGATTTATAAAACAGTCTCTCGAGTCATGATCTTTTCGAAAAGTATGAAAACTACAGCTACAATGATTAAAATTGTGTTCTGATGAAAATAAATACAGACATATAATCTGTTCTTCTGGCGTCTTCTTGCGTAATGTGACAATATTTGATGTGGGGAGTCGCAAGATGCTAAAACACTGGAAAAAACAAGAGTGAAAATATGTTCCTCTCAGAAGTGGGTCTGTGTAACTGGTGTGCAAAGAAACAGAACATGTCTCAGAACAGTGGTTAAAACAAAGGAATGTCCGAGGAGGCATTTTCCACTTTCCAAACCCTAATGATGACACGAGGTGTAATCACGATCTCATCAGAGGAGCTGTCGCTGAGGAGATTCGTTTTTAAAAAACCTGCAACTGATCAGGTGATCAGATGATCTCCATGTGTAAAGTCATTGATTAAATAATGTCCACATTTTCAACAATAAATCAATTCTCTGTAAATATGTATGATATAAAGATATGATAGATTCATAGTTTTTTGATTGTAAAATAAATGTAGGCTACTTCAACAGATATTATTGACCCAAAAAACTAATAAAAACGTTTCATCTTTAATGATCATGAACTTTTAGGGTTTGTTGGTGTCAGATTGGTTTTAGTGTTCAAAACCTCTACATCAGTTTATACTGTATCAGATGAATAAGCAAGAGATGTTCCACTTAAAGCCACGAGATGGCAGCATTATCACGTAGATGAAGAAAGAGGCGGTGTAACTCCAGGCGCATATATACAATATGAAAGACAGAAGTAGATATAATGAATAAAT